AGGACGGCGGGTAGGGGGTGGCCGCTGCGGCGCTGCCCCCCTCTACCGCCGGCCACTGCCGGAGGGAGACCCGGGAGGGAGGGAAGCCCGGCTGGCCGATGAGCGGGGCGGGCGGGGCGGCCCCGGAGGTGCCTGGACCTTTGGTTAAACGGCTTTGCCCTTACCCGAAGGGCTCTGCCATCACCGCCTGCTCTCCCTCCTGCTCGCCCCTCGCTCCTGCCGGAGCCCCGTGTCGGGGCGGGTGCGAGGAACAGACTGCCGGCGGCACCGGGGAGGCAGCCGTCGCGCCCCGTGGGTTGGCATCCCCTCGTGCGCTGCCTGCCGCGTCCACTTGACACGGCGCTGGGTGGGTTTCCCAGCGGGGTAGTCTCGGCTAATCCGATTTCCACGCCTCCGTCTCCGTGCAATTGCCATTAGTTTCAGCGGTGCTTGAAAGAGGATCCCTATCTTCCTGTGCCCACAGTCCCCCGAGCCCTGTGGGGTGCTGCTGACCCCCTCCAGCGGGATGGGAGGCACGGAGGTGGGCTAGGACGGATCCGTCCCTGGTGGAAATCACAGCAGCTCGCTGGCTTCGGTTGGGGCTGCCTAACCCCGGCTGGCAGCCGTCCATATGATATGCGAGATCTGATTTTGGTGGTTAAATGACTTTTGAGGTAAGCAGATGTAAACGGCCGTTGTTTCACTGAAGCACCTGATCCTGTAAGCTCTGTATAGAAATGCCCTAGCAGAAGAAGTCTGAGCAGTCTGCGTTTCACTTCCGAAGCTTTTGGTTTGGCTGTGACAAGATATTAATCCTTATCTGGTTGATGGAGGAGCGGCTCGGGGATGGATTCGTGGAGTGGGGAGTTTTCATTCCTTGTTTTGTCATGATGTGCTCCCGGGGCAAGCTGGCTGATGATGCTTTTCCCCCTGCATTTCAGTGCCCTGCAGAGGGGAAGGGGGGTCCTGTGAAAGTCCCTCCCGGGAACCGAAGTGTGGCAGCATGGTTCTGCCTTGCAAGCTCATTAAGTGAATAAATCCCAGGGATGCTCGGTTCAGATGGGGCTCCTGCAGGAGAATTTATAAAGTCATTAAAAACATTTTAATGGAAAGTACTAACCATCTATAACGCAGCATCTGTTGTCGTGTCTTTGGAAAAACACATCTAAATTAAGAGAATGGGAGACAGTGAGACAGACTGGTGGGCTTTCTGCTGAAGCAACCAGCTGGCTGGGGCTGCAAGGGAATATTGGTGGAAACTCCTTCCCATCTGTAGCATCAGGCCAGGCCCTGGCTCCCTGGACTGCTCTGGGAGTGCCGGGCAGAGCTGGCTTTGGCAGGGATCGGTTCAGGGAGGAGCGGGGAGGGAAGAGAGGAGCAGCTCTGCGGTGTTTCTGTCTCATCTCGTCCCTCAGCGGGTGTGAAGACACGAGGGAGGGTTCATGGGGAAAGCATGGAGGAATATCTGCAAGAAGCTTTGGCATCCTTGGGCTTACGCAGTCCGGCCTGGAGAGGAGGGAATGTCCTCTGCTATTGAAACAGGGTGAAATAGGCAGGGCAGCGAAGGGAAATAAGCTCAGGCTGGTCTCACGTGGCACCAGCAGCCTCACTTTCCCTACAGGTGAGGGCAACAACTGGCTCCTGCTTCATTTTCACTGGGGTGTTTCAGCCCTGATGGACGACGGTGGTCAGTAGCTTCGGTGTGAGAATGAGTGTCAGCAGGGGAAGGGGTCAGACAAAAAGGTGATGGGCTTCCGATATGGCGTGGTTCTCCGGTCCTCTTCGGACCTCGTCCTATGGCACAATCTGTAGGACTGCTTCAGGAGGATTTGTAAAGTCATTAAAAACATTTTCACTGAAAAATGAAACCATCTATACCGCAGCATCTGCTGTTGTGTCTCTGGAAAATCCTGTCTCCGTTCCAAGACTCGGGGGCAGCCAGACAGGCTGGTGGCCTTTCTGCTGCAGCAACCAGCTGGCCGGCAACCGCTTCGGCCGAGAGCCATGTTTCGCTCTGCTGCTGCCTGAGTGGGTTTTTTTGCAACTCAACGTCTTCCTCCTTGGAGCAGCCGCGGGGCATCCTCCGGCCACCTGGCTCCCATGTCGGAAGCAGGGACACAGGAGCCCCTGCCCTGACCAGGCGTGCTGGGACTGCTGTGGGCAGCGTGGCAGAGCTGTTGTGGGCAGCATTTCTGCTGTTTGCCTTTCAGTCTGGTCTGGAGGCCACCGGCTGCCTCCAAGTTCTCTCTTCGATTCTCCACGAGCACAGCAAATAGCCAGCCTGGTCCTTACGGCCGTGTGCCCCCTCCAAGGGGCAAACAGGGGGCCAGGTCGCAGGGCAGTCACAGTTTGTGTTTTTGAGTTGCTGCTCTTCCTCCTCCCTGAGACCCTGAGAGGGAGCGAGCAGCTGTAGGGGGCTCTGCAGAAGGGGGACCCGCACCTCCTCGCTGAGCCAGGCCTTGGGCCCTTGGGTCGTGGTTTTTGGTAGGGTGAAGCAGTCTCTTGGAAACCAACCAGGCTGGTGGGTCCAGCAGAGCATCTGCTTGCTTGGGCTGGAGAATTTCTCCTTACAGCCTTGGCTTGTCGGCACACCTTGAGGCCTTCTGAGTGGCTGGAATATGCCTTAAGCCTCACGCCACAGTGGGCAGAGGGGACAGACGCAGGGCCTGGCATGGGAGGCTTGTGCTGCCATCTCGGCTCTGCATTGTGTCCGAAATGCAGGGCATGATGCTGAGCCCACACCGGGGGCAGCTGTGTCTTCCTCTGTAATGCTGGTTGTAGTTACTCTGATCTGTTCCCTTCCAGGGGTGCTGCCTTTTGCAAAGCACAACAGCAAAATAATGCAGAGGGTTTCTCGTGTTTGCCTGATGCCGTTTCCTTGCCCGTGCCAGGGGTGCGAGGGCGCTTGGCTCAGCCTCGGCAGGAGGCGCCTGGCAGGAGCGGGAGCTGCTGCTGCTCCTTGCAGGGCTGGGAGAGCTGCCGGTGCTGCCTGCTTTGCTTCACTCATGGGCCTGAGGTTGAACAAATTATATTTGTTTAAAAAAGAAAAACAACAAGAAAAAAAAACCCTAGATTTGGTGTGAAGAAGGGATTTGTTTCTGTTCCAGCGTTAGGGCATCGCAGAGGGAGGCTCAGCTGGGCAGGGGAGCTTGGGCTGGGCAGGGAGCGGGACGGCAGGGTGAGGGCAGCTCTGGTGGCCTTACACACCTGCCTTTCCCTTGGGAGCAGGAGGCGGCTCAGGGGATGCCTCTGAAGGAGCTGCTGCTGCTTCTGTAATTGCTGGTGGCTGCTGCTCAGCTCTGCGGAAACCTCATCCCTGCGGACAGGCCGCCTCAAGTCCCGCTGCCTGGAGGGTGAGGTACTGCTCTCCTTTTCGAGGTCTAGGCTGTCCCAGGGACCAGGGTCCTTGTTCTCAAGGACATTCTCCTCTAGCCTCTCTTCTGCACGTTGGCTCTGTCTGAGGGACCCTCGTGGCCAGGAGCAGCTCTGCCCGACCGCATCCCTGCAGAGCCTCAGGTGCTGCCTGGGGAGGGACATGCTTGGGGCGAGGGGGGAGTTACCACCAGGTCACCCAACTAGTGCTTTTCAGTGTGGGGCACACAGCTGGCACCCGGCTTGTAGCGAGGGGAAGGGTCCAGCACCCCAAGAGGTGAAGTGAGACAGCTGAGCTGGTCAAGCTTGGTGCTTGAAGGAGAGGTGGACTTCAGCCCCTTGGCGATCCTCCTCCTCCCTTCAGCCCTGCTGCTTCGGTTGCTCGGCTGCTCTAATTCGCAAACCCAGCAAAAAGCTAGCTGTTATTTTTGGGAGAAGGGGTAGGACTTAATTTTTCCGCTGGGCTGGTGCTCGGTCAGATCCCTGGGGGCCCAGCCAGTGCGCAGCTGGCAGTGGAGGCAGGTAGAGAGGAGGGGGAGACCAGGGCTTCCCTTGCAGGGGAGAGCAGGCCGGCTGCAGCATCACCCCGTGGCCCTGCTCTGGCCACTGTCTCCCTCAAACCCTTTGCAGGGACAAGGGAGAGGCGGGCAAGGACCCTGGTGCCGAGGGCGATGTGCCATCGGTCCTGAGAGGCTCGTGTGACTTCTCCCTTTGGTTAAGTCTCCTCGCTGGTCATTGGTTTTGTTGGTCCATTTTGTTCCAGGCTGCAGCGGCCGACATGGATTTTCTCTTCATCTGCCCCTTTCTGCTGGCGCTGCTGCTGTCCCGGGGCAGCTTCGCAGACCTGGAAAAACAGAGGATGGACTCTGGCTTGGAAATCTGTATCCTTCTCTGCAGCCTGCCCCTTGTGTCCCGCATACGTGCTCACTGAGTAGGAGGGAGCTCGTGCGCAGGGAAAAGGTCAGAGACCACGGAAAGGGGCACAGGGGGGTGGAAGAGAGAGGACCCAGAACTGCTAAGCAGTTGCCTCTTTGCTCTTCTGTAGAAGGGTGTTAGCCGAGCTCCTGGGTTTGCTAAGCAAGTGCCTGGGTCGGTGCAAGAGCAGAGATGGCTTTTTCAGTGGTGCCTGGTGTTCTCCCGAGCGCAGCGCTTTTCCTTTCTGCTCCAGCATGCTGGGTGCTGAGCACGTTTCCCAGTCCGCTCTTGGGAGTAGCGTGGCCAGCTGGGTGACAGAGCACGCCTGCGGGTCTCAGTGCTTTGGGGTCACTGGCTGGGATGATGGAAGCGGGCTCCTGGGCTTGTGGCACTCGGTCTGCTCTGTGCCACGGCCATTTATTGCCCACGAGGAGGTGAGATAATGCAAGCCCTTCTTAGCACACAGCAGCATCCCCTGGTGAACAGGCAAAGTATGAAAAGGTATTTAATACGTGTGCTCGTGGAGACATGTATGGGGAAGGTGGAAGTTCATGTTCTCCTCCAGCCCATCAGCCAGAGCGGGGGCTGGCAAGTACAAAGCTCCCCATGAGCGCCCAGCGTTGTTAAGCTCCCCCGCTGGGGTGTCCGGGCAAAGGGGCTCACTGGAAACCTGTGTTTCATCCTGGCTCAGGTGCTGCCCCCCAGCATTCAGGCACCCTGTGGAGAACTGGGGGGCTGGGATGGTGCCGGGTGCTTGGCGGAGAGGGAGGGTGGGAGCATGGTGGGAACATGGTGGGAGCGTGCCGGCAGCGCCCTTGACAGCAGTGCAGATAAGAAGCTGTTTGAAGTGAAGCGCAAGGACCAGATGAACGCGTTGAAGAACCTGATCGAGCTCAACGATGTCAACCAGCAGTACAAAATCATTGACATCATGCTCAAGGGACTCTTCAAAGTGAGCTACAGCACGGGCCGCCCTCTGGGCTCGGCATGCCGTGGGGCTGGGGAGGGTGGGCAGGAGAAGCGGGGAGGGCCAGGGGGCCTCTATGGGGTCAAAGAGAAGAGCTGGGTGGGCTTTAGGACCTGAAGGGAGGACACTGTGGGTCTTCAAAGCAGGGCGGCTGGGGCAGCACCCCCGGGGTACAGGGAAGGGCTGGCAGGACGGGGCAGTAACTGAGGGCTCTGGCAGGTGCTGGAGGACTCCCGGGCTGTGCTCATCGCTGCCGACGTGCCTCCCGACGGGCCTTTCCCCCAGGACGAGAAGATAAAGGATGGTAGGTCCTCTCCGGTCCTTACCCTGCTCCCTTTTCCAGTGCTCTGGTGCATCACCGACATTCCTTCTGGGGCTGGCACTGGGGTAGGAATGAAACCCCCATGTACCCAGACCAGACCTGGGCTGGTCCCCGTCTGTCGGGGACCCTATTGCTTCCTGTCTGACCAGTTCGTACTGGGGAGCCTACCCGTTTGCCCTCAGCCTCCCCAACTCCTGGCGGGGCCGTAGGTGCTGGCGGGACAGGGCGTGCGTACCGGTGTGCCGATGGGGTGGGTGGCTGTTCCCTCAGCATACTCCCACGTGGTGGAGAACACCGCCTTCTTCGGGGACGTCGTCCTGCGCTTCCCCAAGATCGTGCACCACTACTTCGACCGCAACTCCAACTGGAACAGCCTCATCCGCTGGGGCATCGGCTTCTGCAACCTGACGGGCGTGTTCGAGCAGGGACCCCACTCCCAGGTCCTGGGGCTGGTACGGCTCCTGGGCTCCCCCCGCCGCGTCCCCTCTCTGCTGCTGGGGCTGGGGGGTGAGGTTTTGGGGGTAAAAGGAGGGCAGGCAGAGGGCAGGGGGAGTGTACGCCACATCTGAGGGATGTTCTTGGGCTGAGGGATGGGGGAAGAGCACAGAGGGGGCTGATGGGGAGGAGGGGACCCTAGTCACAGGGGGTGTGGTGTGGGAGGCACTGCTCCCCGACGCGGTCTCCGCTTTGCTCCGCAGATGGCTCAGGAGCTGGGAATCAGCGAGAAATCACCTGATTACCGCAATCCCTTTAAAACGGACCACTCCGAGGTAAGATGGCAATGCCGCCGGCTCGCTCCGTGGGCTTCCCCATCCCCGTTGTGGCTCCAGGCAGCTGGCTAGGGAAGGGAACGGGTGGCTTGGTGGGGAATGGCCAAAAACCCCCAGCACGGAGGAAGCTTGCCCAAAATGTGTGCATCAAATTCCCCAGCCGGGATGCAGTTGGTTTTGGGTGCCCGGTGCCATCTCCCCCCTCTTGTGGCCATCTGCCCCATGGGAGCATTGGGACCCCATTCGCCTCGTGCCACGTCCAGCCTCGAGCCCTCTGGCATCGTGGGGCTTGCACGATGGCTTCAGTAGGTTTGGGGGGTGGGGTGGGGGGTGCCTCTGGGAGGCTGCGGGAGCTCACCCATGCTGACCCACCGCTGTCACACCGCAGTTTTTCCCCAGTGCCGACACCTTCCAGAAGGCGCTGCGGGAGGAGGAGAAGCGGAGGAAGAAGGAGGAGAAGCGGAAGGAGATACGCAAGGGCCCGCGCATCTCTCGCTCGCAGTCAGAGCTGTAGCACGCGGGGGCTCACGCCTCGCAGTGGGGGCGATGACGCCGGGACGTGGAGCGGCTCGCTCCCTCTCGGCGGCCTTGGGCTGGTGCCCGGCGGCCCCCTTTCCGTTTGTGCCGTGGGTTTTGTTTTGTTGCCTTTCCCTTTCGTTCAGTGGGGGCCGGATGGCGGTGCCGGTGGGTTGCCCCAACAGGGCTGGAGGGAGCCGAAGTGGGGTACCCCTTCCCCAGAGCCAAAGCACAGACGGGAAGGCAGCGGGGCCATCCCCTGGGCTGGTCGGGGTGCTGCCACCCGTGGTGGGGTAGGGCAAGGGGGACACGCTGCGGCTGAGCCCCGCAGGGAGCCCAGGGACCACTCCCCTCCACAGCACTGGGTGCCCCACGCTGAACGTGCCTCCTCTGTCATGGGTGGGCTGGGGAGCGCATCACGCCAAACAGCCCCATGAGCAATGCTGCTTCTCTCAGTTTTGGGGTTTTTTTTGTTGGTTTTTTGTTTTGTGGGGGTTTTTTTAAGCCAGTGATCTCATTGGCACCCCTCCACCCAGCTGCTACCTCTGCCGGATCAGCCTTCCCCTCTTCCCAGCAGCTGTTTTACCAAGCAACATGCATTTCATCGGTCAGCCGTAGTTGAAAAGGCCGACGGCGCCGGTTCCCGGCCTGATGGCATCCCACTCTCCTGGGCGGCTACCGCAGCACAACCCCACAGGGAGGCAAACGTGCAGTAAATTTTTGGGAAGGAGGGATTTCAGCTCTTGGCCCTCTTTGCAGCTGATGTGTGCCCGTAGTGCAAGCACCGCTGATGCTGAAGGTGCTGGGGTACCAGCCCTGAACCCCTGTGAGCCTGTCCTGCACCCCACGCCCTCCTGCCCCCATCCCTCCGGTGTGGGGCTGATCCTAATTTAGTCCCCCAACCCCCCCTTCTCCGGGGCACAGCCAGCTACAGGCATGTGGGGACAGCAGGGCTGAAGCAGGGAGGGAGCCAGCCGATGGGCTGCGACCCTCTGTGGGGCATTTGGGCTGCAGCGGGAGCAGAGGCGAGGGGCTGGCCCCAGGACCCAGCACAATGGTTGCTGATAAACTCACCCCAGAGGAGGCTCTTGTGGAGGGACTGTCCCCGAGAAGCGGGTGGGTGCTCTGTGCCGGGCTGGAGGCACCGCGGCCTTCAGGAAAAGGGAAATGTCCTGAATTTTTAACTGCGGAGCCGGGTCCATCCGGTGGGGGGGTGGCAGTGGGTGCGTGTTTTGTTTTTTTTTTTTTTTTTTTTTTTTTTTTTTTTTTTTTTTTTTTTTTTTTTTTTTTTTTTTTTTTTTTTT